CGCGGTTAACAGATATAAGATACAAAGCAAATAATATACATATGTATGTGGTGATGTCGAAATTGTGTTACTTGTTTTAGTAGCTTATATACTTATAACTTCGCCAATATTTGTACAAAATACTTTAGTAGATTTCTTAATGAACAGATTCATTTCCTCACTCTAGCTAGGTATTTATCCTCTGTATATATTTCTTTAAAAGAAATACATCAAGATAAAAATAGTATTGTTGTTAGTTTGCTTGGATAAAGACAATTAATTCTGTAAAAAACATTAAATTGTTTTTTATTAGATACTTCAATATTATTAAAGCTTAAAGAAAATGTTATGTCTATTCCTTTTATTAAGCAGAAGATCTAAGAATAATATTGAAATTTCTACGCAATAAAAATATACTTTAAATATAACGAATATGAAGGGATAAAGAGAAAGTTTATAGAATCTAGAATTATGACAAAACCATTAGAACCATATCAAATCTAATAAAATATAGTTAATATATTTTTTTAATATTATATATATTTTAGATACAATGTTTCATAGTATCCATAGACAGTCTTTGTATTCCAATCAAATCAAATAAAAATCATTTATCATACATTTTAGACGCTTACGAACGTAATTTTTTTTGTAGGAGGTAATATTTTTTTCCTGCCGTCCAGTTCAGTATACAGATTCAATTGAGAAGAATTTTTCCCACAAATAACTTGCGTTATTTCTTAAGTCATTTAGGATACTACTATATGTAATATAATTTTATCTGTGCTACTAGGTAGTTATTTGTTATTGGTACGATGATGGAGCACCTGATTACGGTAGGTGGTAACAGTCACCTATATACATAGACAGCATTACATTATTACCTACATGACGTCGATATTGCTAGTGCGTTGCTATTTCTAAGGACTAAGATATCAAGAATCTTATACTGAAATTTCATCGTTAACCGATACACATCTGACCAATCCAAACTGTATGTCTCTAGGTGGTATACTATATACACTAAAGTTTAGTGTATACACCTAATATAACGTTCGTCCACTAACGAATTAACTTTTGTATATATACAAATTATACTTTCGCTGAATTTGTATGTATATTCAAAAGTTGTAGTTAAGTAAATACATTATTTCCAACATTATTAAAAGCCTTATATTAAAAAAAGTAATTGATATTTGGTAGGTTACATAGGTGTTATATAAGATTTAACACAGAAATAGCTTTAGTTCCCATTCGAGCATCATCTATTTTATCCTATCTTCTCCAGTTTCATTTCGAACCATCAATTTGAGACATTAGGAAGCTTATACATTGTATGGATGTGATGATATGTATATATATTGTTATTTTTTACATTTTTCCAATAAACTGTCTCATATATTTAACTGTCTCATATATAGTAATTAATAATTAATTTATATAAGAGAGTTTAATAAGACAGCATATTTTGTTTATAATAATTACTAATTATTATAAACAAAATATACCTTGATTTCTACGTGGTACAAATTATAGCTGTGTAACTTATTTCCTGAATTTCAAACAGTAAAATATGGTAATTCTATCCCAACATGAGATTTGCGAGAACTTTGGACTGTGGTATTACAGAATAAAGTTATTAGCTATTCGCCTGATCCATACACGCGTTTACTAACTTTATAGTTAAAAATAACACACGAGGTAACCCATAAAAATAAATCTTAGTCCACGCAAATTTTGAGGTGAACTTCATAATAATAAACTGGTCTGCAACAAAATGTTTTTAAAAAGTTTTGAGTAAACATCCCGAACATTATTGTTAATGTACCTCCGGGCCAAGTAAAAGTTATATTACAGAGAATGTACAGAGTCATGAATTCATAAACAAAACACGCAACATATTTATAATATTTAAATTATTTGCGTGGAAATGTGAAGATTGTGTGTAGCATTTTCATGTTTCATTTTATAAGTATTTACGTATATGAAGTCGCACAAAAAATGTGTGTAGATTAATTTTACACAAAAATGTTTATACTCTATATAGTTATCTACTTAGACGTGTAATTTTTTTGTATAAATGTGTATTTTTTTGTATGAATTATTGGACAAATTATTTATTTCGATAAACCTAAAAAAACATAAAATAAGTAAGTAATTTTTAAGGTAATTTTGTTAGTAATGAATGACAAACTAAATTATAAAAGTTTCCTCTCTCTAATATTATTTCTGATTTCATTCTATCTCCACATAGCTACAGAGCAAGATTAATTACAAATTAAGAATTAACTTGGACTGATGTTATATTTTTCAACCGTTAAATTATTTTTGACTTATAATTATAACCTTGTAGGTATTCGGATTTAAATCATATTAAATATTAATTATTATTTTAACGTTATTCTGATGTCTAATGATAATAAGCTATATTTTTGTAAAGTTTTATCATAATCCGTTTAGTAGTATTTGCGTGAAAAAATAATAAATATTTATGTATGGATATAATATATATATGGACATATCCACAAATTGTAGCGTTTACAATATTATTAAGATATGTATTATTTTATGGACGACCTAGAAAATGCTATAGTTAAGCGTTTGGCACGTTTTATACTTGGTCGGACAGTGTAAGATCTCTTTAACCCTTATCTGTGAGGAAATCTACAAACACCTTTTATTCACATTATCTGACGACTATTGTTCACACAGCTTCCCTTATGGCGTCATCTGTATCGTATGTGACGGGTCTTTTGTCTCTACTGTTATTGTATATGTCCATGAAAAACTCAAGTTCATGAATGTACGGATTATGTACAGACAGCTTTCCTTTATTTACGGATATAGTTGTTTATGTAAGGTCATGGTCAAGTATCTGTTAGAATGATATGAAAACAAACACTATTATATTAATATTAGTTACTATATGTGCCTGTTATATACTCAAAAATATACCTAACAATATAACAAAAAAAAATCAACACATACACAGGACAAGGTTCCCCTATATGTGTATGAGATTTAATGGTATTTATATTAATACACGAGTATATTAGATGTTCATTTCATACGTTCATCAATATGTATAATAGTTTTGTAATACTATTTTAATTCTTGTAATTACTCAAAAGATGTTACTAGATTATACTTTTCATTCCAAAATATATAATAGACTACAATTTGAAAGAAATTTGGAAATTCTTTATTAAATAAAATGTGGTAGGATAAAAGTGTAGTAAACTGTTGATTTATATAACAATGGTAGTAAATAATCATAAGGACAGTGTAATGGTAAACAGTAACAACAGCCTTTTCATGTATGGGTGATACCTTAGTATGTCACGTGCGCGTTACCGACCCTTAAGCAACTTTATTATGCCCTTTCTGAATCCTCTTGCTGTCGTCTCCAGGGAAAACCTCGACAGAAAGCAACCCTAGCGTCTGTGGGACGACTTCTCTGAATTGCACTGTACGTGACTAAGTTCTAGGGTTTGATAAATATATATTAGGTTGTAGAAGAGAGATTGGTCTAGGCTTAACCTTGATTATTTATGATGATACTTTTAAAAATAGAATGTACAGTATATTCTCTGTAATCTAGTGGCGTAGCATTGGTTTTCTTTTCATGGTCTAGAGGTTTACTACTCGGACTTGGACCGAAAGGATCGAAACCTTGTGTGACAATTTATATTTCTGACTGATATTCCGGTTATGGCAATACTAATAAGTTTGACGATTGATAGACTTGTTTGCTTAGTACTAAGTATATCATGCTGAGTATATTCCATATTGAATCCAACGTTCTGCCCAGTATTATGTGAGCATATGCATGTGCTGTATTCACCACAATGGCTTTGCTGGAAATTGTTCTATCTCACCTGGTTCACAGTATTCTAACTCAGAAGTACTATGTAATATTATGTTATCTGTGGAAATACTAAATAATAAAAAATCCTCATAATCAAACCACTTGACCAAAGCGGCTTAAAAATAATGATTCCTATGAACTTTCATTAGCTAGTATATAGATAGGTTTTTGCAGTTAATAGAGCGTTTGACATAAAATTCCGGTTGGCGGTTGAGACTATTATTCGCAACGGAAAAGTTTCTTGAAGTTTGAAATTCTTCTCGATGTTGATAGGCACTCAATTGTTTGGTTCACCGCTGGAATGCTGAAAGCACTTTAAATGTCATCGAGTAATGTTGTCACTAACACTATAGTGGATAACGTATTGGATTCTGTTTGACTGTAGTCTAATTTCTCCATACTTCCCTATGAGTATACTGTACTATAATACTAACTATATTATATCTGTAGATTCCTTAAGGCAACAAAATTAGATAGAAAAAGAGGCAGTATACAAGACTACCAGCGATCTCGTCTGTTTTTTTTAAATAAAAGATAAGTAAGACGTAATACAATCTATTTTTATTTAAACTTCATTCAAATCAGTTCAGCTATCGCTCAGTTTGTCGTAAAAAGTTAATCAACAGACAGACTCTTTCATATTAACAACATTATATACTAGCTGTCCTGCGCAAATTCGTCTGCATCGCACTTACCCAATTCACATAATATATTTTTAAATTATAGCCTATGTGTTATTTTGATGTATAAGCTATATTACTGTAAAGTTTCATAAAAATCTGTTCAGTAAGTTTTGGGTGAAAGAGTAACAAACATTCATTCATCCATACTCACAAACTTTCGCGTTTATAATATTAGTAAGATGTCACCACAATGAATTTCGTTGCCGTCAATTTTTCATTATTATTTTTAAGAGTATCCTCTTCTATCCTTCTTTGAATTCCTTTCAGTTTATGTTGTTTCCTATGGTAAATATTATATGTAATAGGTATTTTATATACAGGTGTATGTAATGAAATAACGTCTTTAATGCATAGGCATTTCTAAATAATACATATAACATTGTTACAATTTATTTAGAGTCAATGTAATAAATTATATTTGTAGCTTATATACGAAATAGACAAAGAGTAACCTAATATCATTGTTACAGCTTTGCTCTTGGGGACGTTGAAGATGATGCAGAGAGCGACCTGTGATGACGAAATAGTTTCCCTGGCGTGTCCCAGAGGTACAGCGATCAGCATACAAGTAGCCCAGTATGGGAAAGCCTCAAGTGGAGGACACAGTTGTGTGGAGAATTCAAGATCACAAAGTATTGCAGTGGAAGTTGAAGGCGAGAAGGATTGTTTATGGCCTAACACAATGCAGGTTTGTTTTATTTTATTATTAAAGTTAACTCTGTAATGTTGTCAGGATAATTGTGTATAAGTTTATACGGTGGAATATTGACTGACGGTGTAATTGCTAGGTACAGTAACGACTTCGTTACTATTAATACTATATATGTATTATAACTACTTAGTTGCAAATTATTATATATAGTAACTTGTATTATATGTATATATATTATAGATATGGAATTTAAAACTTAAAAAAATGGAGAAAATTATACCTTTTCTTTAATTATGCACAATATATAAAGATAAACATTGACCCATTAACCTATATAGATGTGTTCTTTCTCCATTATTTTAAAACAGATATGAAATATAAATGATTTTTTTAAAATTTAATCTCTAAAGGTATTAAATTCACTCCACTCCGATCGATCCCCCATCCAATTCCAACGGAGATCGATATTACGACGGTCTGAGTCGAGGTTCGAACCCCCTCAGGTGCCCTCAGACTAAAGTCTCTCTCTGTCAGGCAGGAGTTGGCCTTCAGCCGCTCCAGCTCCCTCCTTCCGCGGGTTTGGAGTGCCATCTCCACTCACCCCCTAACGTCCGGTGAAGTTGTAAAGGCCAGCTGCGTCCAACAGCATTACAGCAGTCCGAAAAATAAAACTCTGATTCGAATTCAAAGTCTTAACGAATATTACAAACGCGAATATAATATTATTTATTTGTGTTACTTGAAACTTAATAAATAAATCGCGTCATAGATAATGAAAATTTTTAGCATAGTTTAATAGTATAGATCACTTATATCGTATACTAAATTTCATTATAAGGGTCACGGTAATGGGCTACTTTTTCTTGCGAAAAAGTTATAAGTGGAGTGAAGGGTAGGGTAATTTTTGTATGAAAATTTATATTGCGTCCTACGATTACATTTAAACTTTGTACGTTTTTTTATAACTAATAAAATATAAACGCTAACGTAGTTAATTATAAATAGAAAATTAGATTACTTATAAGTATCAACAACATATGATAGGTCGACAAAGTCGCTGGCAAAAAAGAGTATCAAATATCTTGGCGAAAATCGTACTTACATTGATCCTATTCATAAGAAAATCCATAAAAAATGTTATTAACGATGTAAATCACATTTTTACTGCCAAATTAGATTAAAAAAAGCTGTCCACAAAATGTACCTCTCCAGATTTCTATCTGTCCAAAGCTATAAAACTCCATTAAATGGAGATAAGGGAACCAGTCCGAAAAACCACCCTTAAAATTATGAGGCTTATGGTAGATGAAGTCACCAGAGATAGGACTGTTCAGGTGAAATATAAAGTTAATTGAATATAATTTCCCTTTTAAATATTTTTTACTCGTATGTAATAAAATAAAGAAGCAGAAGCGAATAGTTACAAGATATATCGATTTTGTAGATGATTGAAATGACGATGATGTCTTGATTTTGTAGTAGGTACGTAGAATAATTCCACATTATTAAACTAAATACAATAATGCAATAAATAATAAACTACGGCATTTATAATATATATTAATAATTTCAAATTGCTTTGGGTTTACTTATACTATGTAATATTGTATTATCTCTTTTTATACCATACTTATCGACAATATGGTCTCTCTCGTAGTGATAAAGTTTGACTGTATACGAATCAATTTATCGGTATATTATATTAACAAGTAATGAGTCCCAGCGTTCTGTGGGCTCGTTGAAATTTTTAAAGGCTGCTAAATTTTGTTTAATTATAACAAGAACATAATAATAATATGCAATCTGAATTATAAAAGAAAACTGTGTAGATATTTTATTTATTTATTTATAAAAATCTGTACATTATGTCTAGTTTTAGAATGTTATTAATTAATAATATTATTTTTCTGTTCAAACAGTACTCATTACTGCAAAGGGTAGTGGAGGCGTGTCAGAAGAAGCCACAGTGCAAGTTTAGCACAAAGCCAAAAATAGGTCTGGTGGATCCATGTCCTAGGACCAGGAAGTTTGTCGAAGTGGCTTACAAATGCAGACCCTGTAAGTAGACCTATTTCTCTAAGAACTTTATATTAATACATCTTTGTCTCACCTATTACAGTTTGCCACAAATGAGATTTGTTCTAAGCTATGTTTCTGTTATAAGATGAGATATGGTAGTGAATTTATAGGGTACGGAGATATAATATGTTAATGTTAGCTTAGTTCGCCGCAATAGCAACATAGGAGGTAATATAGTTGATAATATGATGTCTGAGGGGTTCGAATATTAAGGCAACGGTTGCCACTTACCACCATTGCTTCATGATGGTTCCTCTTATAATATTTACTAGTAATATTTGTACATATAACACTATCTATCACATTAACACTAGAAATGAAAATACCGACAAACAAGTTATATGTTATTTAAAAGTCAACAAGTTCATTGTTAGTTTTGCTACTACAATATAACTCTATTATTCTATTATATATATATATATATATGTATATCTCAATTATTAAATTCCACAAGACCATTAGATGGGTTAGAGCGAAAAAAGAATAGAAAAACTAAAGAAATGATTTTACAAGCAGCTGTGTAAAAATAAAAAAAACAATGCTGTAGTTGTGCAAGCAAGTAGATAGGATATTATTATCAATCTTTATTTTTATTATATACTATCTTAGTAAGTGACTTTAGACCCGTGATATTCAGTATAAGAATTGTTTGTTTAATTTTAATTGGATTAAAAATAAAATGTATATTAAATGTTACGCTAAGTTTGCTTAAATACAACAGTATTTACATCATTCATATAGTTAAACTGTTTCTAAAATTAGTGTACACAAGCACGCAGATAAAACAATCTGAAAACTTTTTTCAGAGTACGTACTCTTTATATATAATGTAGAGACACGTTTATGATTTCATTATGGTATATGTTTTCCTCTCTTATACTCTAATCCTTTCCAAATTTCATACTGTTAGAATGTCATAATAAGTTTATTGTTTTCGACTACTCCAATCTTATTACTTATTAACCAGATGTATATCTATCTAATAGTCCCTTTTATCACCGGGGACGGCAAAACACTGTTATAAACTCGAGATCGACATTATCGGGCAGCGTTCCAAACACATGTCAGCCAAAATGGGAACACGAGAAATAATTTTGTGGAACACTTTTTTATATCACCGTTTCGCCACTACCGAAGACATTACATTGAATAACTGCCTTGATATTTCCCCTTATGAGAATAAAGCTTAAGTCGCCAAAGCCATTATCGGTAAGTTATTGGATCCTCGCTTTGTTTTACTTAGTCACGGAAGATTTTCTGATCCGTTCCCACGCTGCTAGCGCTGATGTACGTGACAGTTATTCGTATACACTATACATAACAATTAATTTTGTCTACTATTTCATATTAAAGGGTAATTAATATAAATGATTAAAAAAGGTCCGACATTCAAAGTACGGAGTGTTATATGATATATGATGATATATATGATACTTTTGTCGTTAAATATTTGAAATAGTATAAAATACTTTCGGTGATAGTCATTAAACGCCTGTACTTCTAAATGTTAAGAAATGATATATATTTAGTATTTATTTTGCTAAGTCCCAGATAACCTGTTATTGGCTTTCTATAGAAATGTACTGTTGATTTAACATATTGAATTATAAGCTATTAGTTTTTTTAATAAATAAATAGCTAAGAACCATATAGAGCGTGTTAATATTATATTAAAAAAAACCCACTGCAATCGGCCTATCTTTGGAAGCTATAAAATAATAGTGACAAAGATGTATGTAAGAAGTATAACGTAATAAAGATGTTAAACTTACAACCACACTCTTTTTCATTTAGCACCAAAATAGGTGATATCAAACTATTTTCAAATTATATTTCAGAATATTTGTATACCCCAATAATATTTATTTAAAGCAACAAGTAAAAATTATGAAGTTATTCTTTACGGTGCAGGCAGTCTCAATTTCACGAAACTTTAGACAGTTTGTAGACTATATATTTATTTTATACTGCCGTTTGTGTAACTGTTTAAGCTACATCATGCCAAAACCATTATCCTCTTTCTTTGAAAGTCAATAAAAAATAAAGCTGTAAAAACAGTTGGTATTGGTTGGCCATTTGAGGCTGCCTTAGAACTAATTGCTTGCAAACTTCTAATTGCCCAGTTGTATATAACAAGTATAGTTTTAGAGAGGTTTACTTAACTGCATGGTAACTGCAATAGATGTAGTAAAATCGCTAATTGAGGACTGGCGAGTGGTTTGTATTCGGGGTGCGGTTATACATAATGCAAGGCGTTTTAACTGACATGTTACTGATGATGCCAATGATACGTGGTGGTTTATTTTTATAATATACATAGTAGTTGCGCCATTTATATTTTATATATTTTTTTATTTCGCTGATCTGTTGTATTTGCAGCTAAGGTTTGTATATTTGTAATTTAGCGGGTGAGTTTTTACCTTAAAAGTGACGCATGTATCCGAGTGCGAGAGCAATTGTGCATCTATTCAATTCAAAAAACAATAAACTGTTTGATTTGTGCAATCACCTGCCGTGCACACTTGTATTACGTTAATCTAGAAATTGGTCAATATTTTTATTATTTGTGCTATATATCATTGTGAACTTTGCGATATCCGTTTAGATGTGGTCTCCAGGAGTATGAGCCCAATATATAGCAGCTAAAAAGCCTCGGTGTTAATAATTAATCAGCGAATTAGTGAAATCTTTAATTTTTATTAGTAATCCTGCAGACCTACAGTTTAAGGGATTGACTAATTATAAGTTAGATTGATGCGTTTGTTTACAATATAATTACATAAGTTTCATTATGCAATAAGAATGTGAAACAGCTAATGGGCTACTCGGCGGTAAGTAGTAGTCTCCGCCTGTATATATAAACATTCGGTCATTATGTAACGCCTGTGGCTCCACTCGGCCGTTGTCATTCCTGAGGACTACATATATACTAATAACATACTCCCGTATCCTATAATTTTATTGCTTAATCTCACATTCTAACAGAAATACAACTTACTAAGCAGGCTGCTTGATGGATGAAATAGACGACACCCAATGCAAAAAAACTTGATTTAAAGTCAACCTCCGTAGTTTTTTTAACAATCATATAAGATTTTATTATAAGTTACTGAATGATTGATAAAATAAAAAATTAAGACAACAATTTTAACCGAATTTGCATGGTAAAGGAATATACTAATACATATATCCGAATAATAAATACATTTAATTAAAATAACATGAAATTATCCTAATTTTGATATAATTACTTAATAACACCTATTCTGCGCATATATTATAGTCACAATGAAATTACATGTTTTCAAAGACGGTTATAAATATTCTTTGACTAGCTCGATGTGAATTTAAAAGATGTGGGACTTACAAATCATATGAAATGAATATCAAACGTAAGTTTGCAACGACGATTTCTACTAATGCATCCATTTATCGTGTTCCCATAACAAATGTTTCTGTTACGGACGCCGTTGCGAAGTAACTGGCCAAACTGTCGTTAATTCTTAAAGAGAAACCCTCAAGTTCGGGAAATAACGTATCTGCCATCCTTTACAATCGGATCTAAATAAATATCCTTGATAACGAAGGCTTTTTGGGTACTTTTATAGTCCTCTTTTAAATAAATGAAATTTGTATGGTAATAGCTGTATACCGAGGTGTTGACCGAGAGAAATATAGCTTGTTACTTGATTCAAAATCAAATTCAGGATATCTTTATTCATGTACGAGTAAGTATTTGTAATAGATCTACTCTTATACTTATAATAAGTCTACTTAGTTTGGAACATAATTTAAGTGTAGAAGAAATGTTACGAAACTTATTTTTTTTCTATTAATAATAAAACAAGTACAAGACGCTCTGAATCTGAAATCCTAAATAATAGGTTAATTGTATGGTCGTATATTTTTTATTCAATAACGTTGAACGGAAATGTTGGTTCTTTTATTTTTATTCTCACGAGAAGGACCAAATATTACATTCAAATGTAGACATTTTTAAAGCATAATTCTAAATTAAAAATAAATATAAATAGATTGATATTTAAAATACCACAATAATTAAATTGAAAGACAATAATAATATTACAGACAGTGGAACTTATTCACATATTAATATTTTATTCTCCATTAGTCAGATATATCATAACTATGTGACAATGGAGGGTGAATCAAGCTCACCTAATCGCATGACGTCACGCTTTTTCATGAGGGTCCTGCAAGTGTATTGGTGTGATTTATGCGGTGTTAATAAATTTCTGGACGAGGTCAGCGACCAGGGCGCGCCGGGAAGTGCAGGAGTGGCGGATGGGTGCGGCATGTCCTCATTAGTGGTGAGGGTAAACGAGCGGGTAAAACTATAGCACTGAAATGTTCCATGTGTTTCAACCTAATAGAAAAATATTTGACAGTAAAAGAAAAGAGAGTTTTTAACTAATGCTGTTGACCGTAACTTTACAGCTATATCGGATGTTGTAAATAAGAGGTGTCAATATTTTTTTCTGAACTGTAATATTATATTTTTACGAATAATGAAATGGCCGCGGTGGTCTAGTTACAAAGTTTTCTGGGTTTAAACTTAGATCGCATCTTATTAATGTTATCACTATAACATGGTATTTATCTATACTAATAGTCTATATTAGATAACCTCGGTAGTCTAGTCGTTTTGGCATACCCCTTTACTTCCAATGATCGCTGGTTCGATTCATTGCACGGTTCAAACAACTGTATTTATGAGTATGAGATTGTTTGTATCGGTCTAAGTACTTTTTTATGTATATTATCTATGTAGTTACAAAAAAAATATATCCATATGTATGCATAATACAACCTCCGTTTAGCTTAGGACTAGCTTGCCTTGTGTGAATTGCCCAGGGATATTATAATCCTGAACTAATTTTAAAGATTAAGTAAATAGAAATGAACATCTTGAACTGGTACGACTCCAGCATATACTGTTATCGCAGACCTATCATTTCATAATCATTTATAAAAAAAATACTGACACGCAGACAAACGCTCTACTTTTATCGCCTCGTTTTATGGTTAACTTAACTCACAATACTTTAAACATCGTCATTTTACTTACTGGTATAGTTAGAAACACTCAGACATGCTTTTACTATATTGGTATCGAGTTACGCACTAATGGGAACGAAAGGGTTGTGTTCTGTTTACAACTAATTTCGTAGAGGGCGTCGTCTTCGCAAATGGGTAAACGAATGTTAATGATACATTGATGGAAATGAAATGGGCTTTTATAGTGGTTTTTATTACATAGTGATGTGTGATAGAAGCCTCGGTACAAAGAGAAATAAACAGAAACTCGGATACTAAGGGATCTTTGACAACTGTACAAACAAGTAGTGTTAAGGCAGTGACAATCTATAATACTATAATAGTATAATAGTATACTGGCAATATATTCTCTTTAATGTATTTAGATTGTAGATTAGAAACACTGTATATATTTAATATATATAATAAACAAAATAATATAAATCCATCGAGTAGTAGAAACTGTTTTAAATTTGACGCTATCATTATTTATATGTATAATTAGTAAAAATCACGGGATCCACGTTTCTGTTTACCCGTGATCATGGTGGTTGAAACACTGCCAAAATATCGGGAACTCAGCAAATAAATATAAAACGTGGTAAGATCCCGTGATTTTTACTAATTATACGTATAAGATTAGAAACCTTAATAATTGAACTTACTATTTAGATTACAATGTATGCCTATTGATTAATAACTTTTGTAGGCACGATGCCATGTAAAAAAAATCGATCTTTCTTAATCCATTGATATACTGAAAACTGTGCCATGATAGATTTTATAAAGATTGCCTCCATGTCACATATTTAGGCCGCAAAGCAGTTTGCTTTGTAAGATGTGTTTCGATTGAAGGTTGAGATAAAGTGGCAAAATTACAGGATAAGAGGCATAACATTTTAGTTCTGAGCAATGAGCTGAGCCTTAGGGGTATCGCGGGTGTCACATGATACCGTGATATCTTTAGTACTGTTCGTGTAGCTTGTTTGCGACTCCGATTACAGGAAAAACCGATTTTGTTTTACAACGGTAATAATATTGTAGTCTAATTTTATCTTTATTAATACTGGGAGCATTTTTTATATTTAATTAATACTTTATAGAAAAATTGGGTAAACAAATATTTCAATATATCGTTTATAAATAGTTGCAGTTTATTTATACGATATTTAAATATGAACATGTACAAAGATTTTGCATATTTACATAGGAGCAAAATCTTGAAAGACTAGAAAACAAAATAAACATATTTTTATTATGTTGAATGCATTTTGTAGTTTATATTATACCTTGTGAATACTAATAAAATCGACTAGTGTATCAAACATGTTGACAGTTAGGGCAGAGTTTTACATGTTGTTTACTTCCTGAATCGCTACTCTATTCTGTTGTAGTTATTTATTTTATGTTTTAAAGATTACTGCATTTAAAACGTACATGCATATTTATCATTATCCCTATTTCGTTTACGGATAAAAATTATTCTTTTATTTTGTTAATATTTATTTTACCTAATATGTTTTTATTATTTAGGTACATACTTTAAAATTATTTTATTCTGGTTTGATTTAAAGGTAGGTTCATAAGCAGTTACAACATGAGATAAAAATGGATTGGAAGAAAAAAGAAAATGTCACACAAAGAATACTTGTTATTAAATGTAATATAGTAATAATAAATGTAATGGAATATAAAATGTAAAATTGCTATTTTTGTAGTAGTTTAATTTAACGTATAGATAGATAAACATTTATGTGTTAAAAATATTTAAATATTTCGAAATGGATTATATTTTGTTCTACGTTTTCATCAAATTTGCATGACGGCTTAACTAGGGTTGACAACCTAACAAAAGGTGATAAAATGCTTTACACAGAATCGTTAAAAAGATACCTAGTAGATAATATATGGTGCAGTACTTATAATATAATATTTTGTTTATAATCTTTACTAGGAATATTCATAATGTTTTTTTAATTAAATTAAACATATCAATTAATAGAGAAAAATTGGCCAGATCTGTCGAAACATATATTTTGTAAGTGTATATTAACAATCCATATTAATTTTATAAATGCGAAAGTGAGTCTGTCTGACTCTGTATTTGTTTATTTCCTTTTCACGTCTAAACGGCAGAATAGATTATAATTAAATTTTATATATATAATAGGATGAACAGTCGATCTCGTATCTAAATGTAAATTGAAGAAATAAATTAAGTTGGGGTTAAAAGTTTTTGCAGACTAAGTTGCTAATCATGAAATCACTGACATTGGGACCATATGTATACCGTACTTCATGACGTAGTGAAATAAAGACTTATGCTCAATCGTGTACTATGGCATGTATATGGTCTGATATGGTGGAATCCGATATACAAATAAATAATAGATATTAGATAGTACAAAATGCTAATACAGTATAATCCAAAAGTTTCAGTTCATAATACTATGCTAATGGTATCTCGTCTGAAAAAAATACTTACGTTTATATTTTTTACAGTCACATTCCGAAGTCGGACATGTTGTGAAGATGACGTCATTAAGTTGAGCTGTAATCCGTATTCGAGGATAGCTATCTTCGATGCACAGTACGGCCGTACTGCATACGAATCGATTACCTGCCAACAAACGCAAGGAGTTCTAGACGAAAGTGAGTATAAAATTATAAGATCGAAGTCAACATATATGTATATATAACGCCCTTGATGGTTTAGCGGTTTAGTACATTGCCTTTCTTCCGATGGTTGATTCAATTCTGTGCAACGGTACACAAATTTGTGTTTATTAGTATGATTTTTTGTATTGGACAGGGTATTTTTCATGTTCATTATGTATTTATAAAAAATGTATGTTAGTACAAAAATATAGATACAAGTAAAGTAAATATCAACTATAAAACTACAATATAAAATAAATATATACAAGTGTTTACTTGTATATAAATAAATACTTGTATACATTTATTTTATATTGTATTTTTATAATGTCATCTATCACCAAACTAAACAAATTACACATTTGTATTTATCAGTTGTTTAGTACCCATAACACAGAAAATGCGAGACCGACTTGAACCCAAATGTCCAGAGTTGAAATCTTGTTTCAATTTATGTTTCTGACTGACTCTCCGTTATTGGAAACAATTCATATTAATACAACACATTGACAATACCTCTGACTACCGTCGTGGATAAAAATGATGCTAATATTTCGAAATAGCTCAACAAATTTGTCAGTGAAAATGCTATTGATAGAAAATTATACGAAATAGTACAATATAAAGTTTCTTAGTGCCGTTATTTGTCTATTTTATCTTATTACAATCTGATTGTGGTATTTAAAGTATATTTTTGGGACTTAAAACGACGTGATTGCAGGTTAATATTCTCAGATTTTAGTGGCAAAAGTTTTGTCATTGCTGTAAGTATATATGTAATTTGTGGGGCAAATTCGTACACCTGGAGTTCGGTTAGGAAAAATAGTATAATAATACTACTATTACTACGATAGTATAAAAATATACAAAATTTTAAATTATTATTAGTAGTTTCTGAAACAAGCCTAAATCTAAACCTAAAAGGAAATTGTTGATAATTATCTTGTGAAATATAGAATTCTTAGACTTATTAGAGTATATAATAGGTAACAGAGTAAGCGCGTAAACTTAAAATTATAGTTTCAGTTTAAAGGCAATACGCAAGAATAACGTAATAAATAATATTGTAACTATATACGGTTTGCGAATTTACTTGAAAATCATGCAAAATTCTAATAATGTGTTTGGTTATTCATTAGCTACACACTACACATAAGATAAGTAGGAAGAAATTACCGGTTTCTTTACTTACTTTTAATCCCCAAGCCACACCCCATCACCGTACCGTGAACAAAATGGTAACTCTATATATGTTTGTTTACATTAATCATAAATATATAAAAAAACCTTTGCCATTGTCAGTAATATCGCTGTCAAACTATACAATGGTGTTTGCATCGTTGCACGTGACTGTACATCACTTGTCAAGCTTTCTAATAACTCTTAGCTGGTAAAAAAGCAACAACAGCTTGTTTATTTTGTACGGCAGGTGTTCCAGACAGTTTGTTTACACTTGAGTTATAGTTGCCCTTTCTTGTTGGGTCGCTTGTAACTACGCTGACACTTATGAGAGTTACTTGTGGAAAAGTATTAGGTATTTCATTAGAATTATGGGCCTTTTTCAATAATAATGGATTTTTATAAAAAAATAGAGACTCTTAATTTATTTTCTTATTGAGATACGCGATGTAATGATTTTAATAAAAACTTAAAAAAATAATTTAATGATCATTGATGCGATCATTGTGTATTAGGTTTTTCATTCTCAATGATTTTGATTTTAAAAACAGAAGCCTTATCGTCGGGTCTTTTTTTGTTTATGATGTGGTATATGATAATATTTTGTTCACAATATAAAATTAATAAATTAACATACTGTATACAAACATTATTAACAAAAAATTGAATTATAGCAACGATTTAAAAAACAGGATTTAAAAAACCAAATGTTAAAAAACAGGATAGAGATAAAACATTACGAGTTTTAATTCCAAAATTAATTTTACAATAACTAATATATAAATAATTTTTTTTGTTTATTGTCATTTTTTGTCCTTTCATTCGCACAACGAGGAGTGGGGGTACAATAATTCTTTTCTATTTATAGCCTGTTCAGCGCCCCATGGAACTGACACCGTCATGCAGATCTGTCACGGAAAACGACGCTGTCAAATAGAAGCCAGCAATAAAACATTTGGATCGCCATGCAAGTCACAAACAAGAACTTATCTTAAAGTGGTTTATGCCTGTGGTAAGAATTTTATATTATACTACCAAAGCCCACGACTTAACGTATACTAAATCACGGGAAGTTCTTTTTATGGATTTAAACATATTTATGGATTTTCATAAATATTATCCGAAAAGTCTTAACATTTCTATAATTAATAAGATCATAATATTTAGATATTATTTGAGTACAAAATAGAATAATTATTCTTATGTACCTAAGTCTAGACCAAGAAGTAGAATAGAAAGTTATATTGAAACATTTAAGTTAGGCACAAATGACAAACATTGTACACGAAAACGATTTCCGTTGCTAACTTCGCCGAGTTCCAGCACATCTGGATCAGGTTTATTTCTAAACGGTATTTTCTAACATACAGTCCCGAGCTTAATCTAAATCGGAAAAGTAAAATCCGGTTTCCATTTAAGTCTAGAATCGAATAGATGAGTGAAAAACTTGGAGTAATCGCTGATGGGTTCTAAAGGCGTGCGTTTGATATTCGAATTAACTAATTTAAAAAATAGCTACATTTTTTATATATAATTGGAATACGAATCTAGTTATAAGTGGTGACCGTCGTCTATCACACGAACCTCACGTCATCATGTCATCATGTCATCACGCCCTTGGCAGCATTCATGCATTGCATACCTTAGGACTGAGATCATACATAAGGTCATGCCTCTTATACTGTAATTTCACTGCCTTGAGATCCTTGATAGGCGAGGTCATCTTCAACTGAACAAAATATGCAGCTTGGTGACTGAAATTTGCGTGGATGTCTCTAATTCATCTAAATTAGAGACACCCACGCAAATTAATTATACAAAGTTTATCCCAGTAAAATCTGTATATATACATTTCTCATTATTACTACTATATTTCTTTTAGTATTCTGTGTGGATAAATTTTAATTTTATGTAATGTTTTAATGACTGATTATTTTAATATTAATTAATTGTCTATATCAATTGAAGAAACTTTAAAAAATACAATATAATAACTAAAATATATTATTAAAATTATGCCCTTTAGGCAAAGTTCCGAAGATACTGGCAGCGCTCCCTCTTTGAATGGCTAGACTAATTCTTTGTCCTAGGTAGCTGCCAGCTCTTCGGTCTTCTGTGATGTTGACCAACTTTTTATTATTTCCTTGAAAAGTCTTATAGCGCTAGGACCCCACGGACGGTTTTTAATTTTAGGTTCTTAGTTGTACTGGTTGTACAATTAAGTTATGTAAATAAAGTATAGAATTATATATAAATTTGTTTGTTATTGTTATTTGTAGTTTCTTCAATGTATATAAATACTGAAGAAACTTTTTAGTGGAATCACATGTGTCTCATGGTAATATAATGTCCATACCGTTGTTCAAGTATGTATGTAGGCGACGAAAAATACTTAATATTATCTATAAAAGTAAATAGTCGTTAATTAAACTTTCACTTCAATCACATTTATGCAGTACTATCTGTTACCCTTGTCAACATCTGCATTTTGTTTTAAATATAACATAGAATATTTTCATCCATGGTCTTCACGTCAAATTTCTTTAGGATCTGTCTGATCTAAGTCTTAATTTGTTTATCGGGATAATCTAATAAACAGACATAAATTATTTTCTCTTTTTTATGACGTCAGAATGGATAGCTTGGAGCTGTAATGTATGGCTCTCTGAACTTTTGAAAATGGCATAAGGCTCTTCTTTTTATCTTCATCTCTCTCTTTTTGCGTTATAGTTTTAATAGATAAATCAATTACTGTATATTATGATATAATCTTTTCACTTTAGAATAGCAATAATGTTAACTCCCAAGGCAAAAAATATTACCGCCTCCTTATATGTGAGAAATATTTAATCTGTAAAAATATGAACGCCTAATATTCAATTTACACGGTCATGCAAAATTCATGACGGGCGATTCATAAAAGTTTTATGGCTACTGAATTTAATGGTTATGTTATTCAGGTCGGGTGCCTAGAGAGGAAAACTGTTGTGTCACGCCTGTATTACAGCTTTTGTATAGATATTGAGGACTTTGTACAAAGATTAGAGCTTCTAACATTTTTCTAAATAAAACAATCAATATTAGAACTTATACAGCGCAATATAATGGATTAAATATGCATTTATAACAATTTATTGGAATTAGAATTTATAATTTTAATGTATAATTATCAAAATTATCAACGTTGGTCTTATCTTAAATCAAAACAATCGGCTTACCAAAATAGGTATAACTATGTTTGATGGAAATCAGATTGTTTTGCATTCTGTATTCTGCTATTGGCAGTTGGATTGAGAACACTTTCAAAAAATAAAATAGATTAAAACACATCCTATTATAAAATAAAATATTTTATTTATAACATGTTCCTAAAGAATTAAAATCAATACAATTTTTTATGTTAAATATATAAAACAACTGTTGCTCTGAGTTGATAACTTCTTTGAACCTAATCATCATAAAAATAGCTAGGTAAAAAAATTGTCAGCTGCATGAAATATTTTTACTAAATTATATGTTTTAGAATGCGTTGGTTTCTGAAATAAGTGCTATATTTTCTATCACGTAAGGGTTTTTTGCAGATTCAAAAACAAAAACAGTAACTTAGGAAAAAAATTGGGAATTAGGTTTTCAATTCTAATATGTACTCTAGCAGTTATTTTCTGAGTGTTGTTTTCAATAAATTGAATAATTATTATTAATATATTAATTAGTCGTTTTAACACGAGCCGTGGTCACAAACTCACTGATGGCTATTGCAACCTAGTCGAAATGTCGAAAGGTAAATACTTTCATTTACCATAAAATTATTTGTGTTAAGAGAGCAGATTAACTATATTAAAAATTAAAATTGAAGCTTGTGGTTTCAATCGACATTGTATATACTATACATATTACTTAACAAGTAATATGTGCAATATGATATGAAACCACAAGCTCCATGTTTGATCGTCCTTCGTTTTTAGGTTATTTTTTACGATGTCCCTAGGGTAAGTGATGAGGACACTTTGCATAATAGTGTAGTTTCCAATTCTCGATCCAGGCGGAAACAAACTTTTCTAAATTGGCTTCAGTTAGTATACTTTTTGTTGTACGTATTAAAGAATGTTGTTTTTTATACAACTTGAAATGGTAAACAATCTGAGGGAGCAAGATTTTTTTATTTAACATGAATGGCAAACAGACTAATGGTTCAGCCCGGAAGGTGAAAATCGTCACCATACAGCATCGAGAATTTTATATACATGACCTTAGATTCCTGTGGTATATTTTAATACATAGTATTGAAGAATATCACTTGCTGAATTAATTTTGAGAATAAAGATTATGTTTGAATGTCTGTATGATGAATACATTTTTATTTCTACTACTATGAAAAGAAAAACAAGAAAAACACACATGAATGGTAACTCATGAAAAGTACGACTTTTCATGAGTTACCATTCATAAGGGTATCCAAACAGAGTAAACAAAACAGCCCAAAAAAGAAATGTAAATTATTATGATTACAGTTCCTTTGGGTGTTCTAACCGAGCGGTACGAAAGCGCGGCGGAGACTGATGAAGTACTGAACGGTGATAAGAAATCGGATGGTGATGAGCAGAGTTTATTTGATGATTCAGGTAATTACCTGAATAACCATATTACTAATTCCAACAGGGAGTTCTTACTTAATTCTATTTGTTTGGATAGAAATAATATAACAAAATCCTGACACTTTTTCTTTTATTACTGAAGAATTTACTCTTAATTTTTATATTTTAATTTAAAATACATAAAAATAAAAAAATATTTATTTAATATAATTTAACTGTCGGTAACCGAGAGGTTGTGAGTTTCAATCTGTCCGACACAAAAATAGTTTTTGTGTTATTTATATTTCTGATTAATTCTTTAGGGTTGGAAACACCGATTTATTTCAAAAGATACTAATAGAGTCTATTAAGGTTTCTTAAGTATTGACAACATGCACGTGACACCCCTGGTGTTTCAAGCGTCTATAAGCTACGGTACCGTTTGCCACCGGATGGGCCAAATGCTAGATTACCATCATCGTGGTTTAAAAAAATATAGGTTCGCCTCTGCCACGTTGGATTGTAATATACCTAGTGAAATATGGGCGAGTAAAGTGTTAGATACGTTCATATCACTTCGGAAATTCGACAATGTCTTTGACTAATATAGTTGAAATAAATAAATACACCATCTGGGATAATTGACGTAAAGGTATATAAACAACACACATAATATTATAATAGTTTTTTTTTAATAGTAATATACGAATAGCGACCAGTTATAGAATCGGTCCAGCCATTTCAGAGATTAGCCGAAACAAACAGACAGACAGACAGACAGACAAAAATTGTAAAAAAAATGATATTTTGGTATATGTACCGTATTTATATTCATATGCATGCAGTAAAAAACGGTTATTTCAATATTACAAACAGATACTCTAATTTTATTTAGTATTTTTATTTCTAGACATGATTATTACTTTATTTCACGAGTAAATTAAAACCTTTGAACAGTATTTCATATCGCGTATAGTATACATCCAAGAAAAACGAGCGTAGCACTTTAGTAATATAATGATTGATGATGTAAAACTCGTACGGTCCCAGCAACAACCAATTCTGTTTTATAGAAACGTTAATAGAAGACGTAAGAAATATAACATTTAATATTATTCTCCTTCAACAATATTACATTTCATTGGAGATAACAAAGTGCTTTGTAGTTTCAAGGCATGTCTGTCTAGGTTTTGATCTTAAACTGTCGAAACAATATATCGAAAACATATGAGATAAGGTTATATTGTATTAATTTATATGTTATACAATATTAATAGTTATTTTATAATATAATATTTCTTTGCTTAATTAAAGAAATAGTTTTGTACCTTTTGAGGAATTGAACCCGCGGCCATCGAATTTAAGGCGGTGTCCTAAACACCGTCACCGACCACCGACGCCGTCAAAATAGTAGTTCTGAAATAAAAGATTTCATAAGTTTAGACTTTATTTATGAATATATTTAGATGGAGCAAGTGACAGATGGGACGATTTAAATGCTGTATCTCCTGTGGTCAATCCTGCTCTTCAACCTCCTGATGATGTATATGCCTCAGCAACCTCCACGCAAAAGAACGAAGAATCATTCATGAAAACAACGCAAAAATCCCCTGTAAACAATAATGCAGGTAAATATAATTCAATATATTTAATTATTACAACATAATTATATAATTTAAAATTAGGTTTAATTAATTGATGTAAAAATGTGTAATTTGTAATTTGTGGTAATACTAACAAGCTACTACGCTATTGAATTTATTTATATGGAAATTATAATATATTTTTGTATAATAGCCCGGCCAACAGTAAATTTAGACTATATTCAAATTAGATTAACTATTAAAACACTATTACGATACAAACTTACAATAAACATTACCAACTGTTCCCTTTTATTCTATGTGACTTGAATAACAAAAAAAGCTGATGTTGTGCTAATTGTCAACGTTTTGCTTATATACATGACCAACAGGGTAAGAGACACGCGTCATACTAATTGACCCTCGTAGGACTAAAATATCAAGTCTCCTTACCCTAGAAATTCTTGATATATCTCGACTTTCAATGGAAATACATCTGATAAAGAAAGCTGCTTTACGTTAGAAATGAATGAGATAGAAGTACCCTTTGTCTACTTCTGTAAAGTATTTCGATAAATTTTGTCATTATTTTTCAGGTTTATCTAATCAGAAGACGGTATTATTTATATATGTGAGCGCAGGTATTTTAATATTCATTATAATAGTACTCCTTTTAGTAGCAATTCGATGTTACATGACACGACGTTCATCGGAAAATTCCAAAACTGGTGACATGTTTACGACAGAGGCTCCAAACGTATTCAGTGACGCGGTTTCTGACATAGACAACGACGTCGATGTCAGTCATATTTCTGGAACATTCTATGATCCTATTCACCCTGATATGATTCTTTATAGAGATAATCCAGCGAACAAAGGAACGCTTAGAGCTATGAGACCACTTTCTACGATATATCCCTGCGCTGGAACAAGTATGTATGGAAATGTCGATTATGTACCGTCCCAAGGACGAGAAGGTACAAACCGATTTCGGGGCAAAGATGAGGAACCCGATGCTATGATGAGCCCTAAGAGTTTAGGGACGTATTCTAATTCCCAATTTTATTATGGCTGACGGAGGAATACAGGAGGCACCGACGATGTCTCCAGAACATATTGTTTTTAGTGTTTTTGAATTATGTGCACAGTGAATTGAATTATCAGAGGCTTATAAAGCTAATATTGAGATCGTTGTTGCGATTGTGAATATTATATAAGTAGTAACAATAATTAAAATAAATTAATCTAATGCCCCAGTATTTAAAAATGACAATGCATAATATTCTAAATAATTAAAAATCGTTTCACACATTTTTGATATGAGACACTTTAAGATTTGCACAATTGTATAAGAATGGTCATTAATTTGCACATAATTAAATGTATTTTGTAAAAAATGCTGTGATTATTATAATTAATGTTATATGCTTAATTTAATATTATCAGTCATGGTCATAAACAGATGAAGTACATTAAATATTATTATACATATATCGATTACTACGTCTTTAAAAGGCAGTTTTTACTTTATATAAATTGTGTTTTTTTTCTTTCAGTAAGTTTATTTCAATGTGAGTAATATGAATAAATTTTTATACTTTAGTTTTAACATAATACTTTTTCGTTTTATAGCATTGATTTCTAAATGTCAATATTATAAAAAAATACTAGGAAATATGGTCAAATCAAATCTCATAATTTTTATATCTGTCGAGGCGCACTCAGTAAATTACATGAATTAATTTAAAAATTCTATAAGATAAGTGGTGTAATATTAAACTGCCACTTAGCACTAAGTTAAAAGATATCATTTTACATTCACTAAAGACAGCTTGTAAAAAGGAAAATGTTAAATATAATACGGTTAAATATTAAAGAGGATATAAAATAATTTTAATGAAATTGGATCCGAACACAATTATTACCGTCGAAATTAATGTAAATATGAATTATATGCGTAAAATACTAATAGCTAAAGTTCAGTCCAATTGCATTTTTTTTATATATCATTACCTACTGTGAGTGTATTTGCATACTACTAACATATAATAAGCAATAAATATTTATGTTGGCACAGATAAACATCCCGGATATAATGTTGTTTGTAACTAATCATGAACTTGTTTATGCTACAACATTTCCATTAATTAATAGTAAATTCCAATAGAATTCTGTAAAGTTTTATATGGTATTTTAATAAAAAAGTGAGAAATTTGTGTTTCATTTCCACTCACCTGATGCATAACAAATGGACGGTCATTACTCGCAATGATCCGGGGGTTTAGCATTTTTGTTGCCACTAATGGTTGCGTGGTTGGTGTCGTTATTCATGAAAATTAAGGGGAGATTCGGTAGCTATCATTCAAGAAGCTAAATAGGGAGCAGTTATGTATGCCCAGTCGGCGATGTAAGCTTGAAAAACAACCATAACATTTAATTAATCGGAATGAATTTTTGTTTGAACGATCAAAGCCGAAACACGAAAAATAACAGTTTTATTTATGGTAAGTACAGTTTTGTTCTTTGTATTAAGTATTACCATTTCATTTCGTCTTCTACTAGCCCGCCCCCTACTTTGCCTGATGCTCAAAATTTTGCGAGTTTTGTATAATTAACATAGTACGTAGATATGTATATATATATAATACATGACAACATATTTTAGTTTGTATTATACCTATATGTATATTTTAATCTAATTTACCTGATCTAATTCTAATCATTTTTATCAGTCTTTTTTATCAGACGTACATGTAGGTATATAGGCATGCAAAATATTAAATAAAACGCAATACATATACGATGCACAAAAACAAAGAGCTAACCTAATTTCCTGACCCGATGCCAGCTGTTTGATGTGTAGAAAATCGAATATAAAACGATATTTGATTCAGGAGAAACATTAACTATCAAGTATAAAGCTCCATTCACATAGTTCTCCATCTGGGGCCCTTCTGTTCTGGTTAGAAAAGGGGAAAGATGATTGTTTACGATATATATTATGTAATTACCTTACCATAATATCTTAAAAGGCACAGTAGAATCTGTTATAAAAGTTGGAAACTCGTAGGTACTTGACCTACTAAAATACTAATACCGAAAAATGTTATAATTTCCGAAGTAAGAATGATAACCGTTAGATTTTACAGTTCAATATATATATTATATTAGGTGTAGTGTATCACGGCTATCAGTACTCCTGAGCATTCTCTCACGGACGCTCATGCTATTATGCGATCTTTGACACTTATAAACAAAAAAACATATAAAATCATATAAATTTCAATTGACAATTTATCTGTATTAAACAAAGATATCCCTATGGCTTGTATAAAGTCGGAGTATATTAATACCCAGAGATATGTATACCTACCTACCCAAGAGATATATATACATCAGAGGAATAGCTCTGGGAATTAATCTGATCCTTGTGCCCCACCAGTGGTGTAGGTTCTCTACTGATGGGGCACAGATCAAGGATTACCCGGAGCTCTGAAGCTAGGGTCCCAGTGCTGTGTGAATGGATCTTAACTCTATCGAATGCAAAATAGTTTCGGAGAAGTTCTAAATATAATTTGGGTCCAATCCGCATTGTGGTCAACATACCTTTCAATTCACTAGGCTTTTACCTATAGTTTAGCTAATTTCAAAGGTAGGTATCCAATGGGTCGAGAAATATGTGGATAGTTTTGTAAGATATGCAATAATTGTAATATATTGTTTACAACATCAAATTCGAAGTATACCAATATCTTTATATAGACATGCGTATTTGATATTGTGACCCAATAATCTCAATCAATTGTAATTTCTGTAATATTAGGAATAGAGAATTTCAATTTATGTAATGGTTTGTAAAGCGTAATGTGTAAATAACAGTGATAGTTGTTAATAACAGTGATAATGTCTCTTAGTGTATATGGATAAATAGATATTACAAAAAAATAACAACATTTAATTAACTATAAAATAACGATAGGTAAGTCGTTAAAGGTTACAGTGAAAACATATTTTGTGAACGTTTCACCTTAATACCTGCGTTTTACATGAAACAAATAGAACATAATTCAGAAAAAGTATTTTTGTTAACAGTACCTATCTATAAAATAGCTCACCATTCTAGAATTAGTAGGACTGTAATAGTTACAGTTTTCGAATAAATAGTATTTTCAATTTTGGAATTTCCACATAAATATTAACTCACAAAATTCGGACGCTATAGTACTAGTGTAGATGTCAACCAGGGGAAGTGATTTTAATAAATCGTTCCAACGACAAGAATTTATTACGGTGATCCGTCACGCAGTCACTTCCTCTACCGTATTCTATTAGATATGTACTCAATCGAATAGGTAGGTAGGTCTATTGCAAAAGTTGACCTGTTGCTCATACTTTTATTTATTCGTTGGGCTTAAAGGATTACCTAAGTTTTTATCCTAAGACGTATACAATTCTCTTAAAACGTGATAAGTACTACAGGTACGGTAGTTACGATTGAAACAATATAAACATTTATACCAGTACCTGTTTTGTATTCCGCATACTTCCTTAGTATAAGAACGTATCACCGGATATCTTACTGGAGCAAAGGGCGCTTGATAATACTGGCCACCAATAAAATATATGGCCACTTAAAATTCGAATTTAGAACAAAAAAGGAATTGAAAATAATAACTGGAAGAAAAAGTACGCTCCGTGTTTTTAACTATTTAGAGAGAAAATTATCGATTTAATTAAAATAATATAATTGTTTTTATTAAAATATACACTCTAGAGCCTAGGGCCACTAAACTATATTACACATCGGGATGTTCCTGTGCAAAGGTGAGAAGTTTGATATTACATTCCTTATTTTGGAGTGTTCGGAGTATGGAAGACGTTCTTCTTGGGCGAAATCGTATTTCTTCTTCCTTTTCCAATAATTATTTTCTTTTTAAAAATAAAGTCCACTCTCTATATTCAAACATGCTATATATACTGACAGTACTTATATGTCTAATACTATAATTGATTCAGTAATTAGTTACAGTTATACTTAATTTAGGAAATTTTAGATCAATATTAACATTTTGCGCATTACATAAGAAAATTTAGAGAAGGCTCGAACTTCCCTGGAATGCGAAGTAATTCCAGAAGTTTCCTTTAGTAGGACATCATTTAATCCATTATTATGAAGATTAACTATTGATTAATGATATATACTAATAGCCTCGTAATACGCGAACGTAAATATCTACTAATATTCTGTGTGCCAAAGTGTGTCTATCTGTTTGTTATCTTTTGCCAACTAAATTGCTAAGCCAATTGTAATGAAATTTCACGGGAATATACATAATACGAGGACAGAGATAGGCTATATTTTATCTCTAAAAAATAAAGAAGTCAAGGGTGACGCTAGTCTAAAATATAACAACGAAGTGCAGACAAGACTGTCAGCTGGTTTGATGTTACAGGTACATAAAAATATAGTTTATTATACGCAAAACTTTATTTATTTCTATCTCCTGGTAACCTTCAAACAAATGTAATACATCATTTAGTGATAAAAGTCGTAGAGCCATGTCTACGACTCTTATTATATTCGTACTATAAGATGGCCTAGCTGGAGACCTCAACCTGAAATGTCTACGCTGTATGGCGGAGATCTGCCATTGCTCACTCCAGCACAAATGACGGTCTTAAAACCAAGCAGATCTCATGAGTCTAAAGTAGACGGCCGAGAAGGAGCATAAAAATTACAAAGATATACTAATAACCAATAATTTGTTCTTCTGTTTGTTACCTATTCACATGAATATGACCGAACATATCCCAACGGATCACAATATAATTTGTTGTAAACATATTCGTTGATTTTAACGTGAGGATTTTGTCCCATGAAAGTAGACGGAGTATTGGTTAACAATTATCTTTTAATATTTCCTTACATTCGTGTTACGTCAATTATATACCAAATAATATATTGGATTTACCTTTCAATAAATTTAAAATTTCTGTTAAACCATATTTACTAAGCAAAGCCTATTACTTACTATGGTTGTTCATGCATGGGATTTTCATTTAGTGTTAGATATAAACACCTATAAAGTAAACAATGTAAATAACAAGCTATTTAAAAAAATGAAATTCAGTTGCGTTTATTGCCAGTTCTTCTCAATTAAATCTGTATACTGAACTGGACAGTAGGGAAAATAATATAATACGAAAAATTTTACGTTCATAAGCTGCTAAAATGTCCCACTTGAATAAATGATTTTTTAATTGATTTGTTTTCTATTAATTAAATAAATGCATAATAATAATTAGCTACATTGCACTTTACGTGACGTAACACTTTACGTCGCTGTTACAGCTTTATTCGATTTTAACATATAAGAGTATTAAGTGCTCACATTAAG